GGGAGGGGGTAAACACATTTTGCAGGTTAGACTTGTTTTCGGCAGCAGGGACAAAAACAAATGACATCATCAAAAAGCAAATGCGCACGAGAAGGTTTAGTTTTTGGTTGTGATTCTGGACCGTGCAATCAACAGTAACGTGGCCTGTTTTGTCGGGATGCCAGATGACGTGCTACATAACTGGGTCAATTAATGTTCACGAACACAACTTTTGAATCGCGTTGGCTTGGGGATGTTTGCTGTGGGAAAAGCTTTATTTCATGGGCTACATTTGTCCTGGGATGTGTTGATTGACTGTACAGGGACTTGCTTTCTTAGTGTTCGCGGAGGACGGTCATGGAGTTAGGAGTTGTGCTCTTGGGCAAAGTACTTTGCTCTCATGGGCCCTCTCTCTACCCTCCTCACCGCAGCCGACGGACAGCTGCTGACGGACTTTCTGACAGAAAACAGGTCCTACGTCTCATAGAGAAGGTCCTCAGCTCTAGAACTGTCATGCAAGAGGAAAATTAGTCGTCGAGGGCGAGAAAGTGAGTTTTCTCTTCCTACTGCCGCGGCAGCCGGTTGTTTCAGTCCTGCCATAAGCACCAACCTGGAGGACTGATACTATCTCATTCAGTCTAGATCTGGCTTCTACTTTTCGCCCCGTCTGGCTGCCTGTCAATAGCGAGATATGAGAATATTCTCCCGCCGAGTTAGGTAGTTTAGCTCTAGGTGTATATCGTTTTTATTTCAAGTGTCTTCCAGGAGTGTGCCCTATTTGTTTACTTAGAAAAAGCCCGGTACCTTGACACTTAGAGTTTTCATTATTATTTTTCTCTAAAACACGGAAGTCCGCTCCAAAGGCACCCAATGAGCAAATGTTTCGTAATAAAGCTAAGAGATTGTTCTCTTGTCAAAATACAATCCATCAGGGGAAAGAATTCTCAGGCAGTACGGCCAAAAATACGTCGTTTTAATTTTGGCTGAGAACGTTTTAGTTGTTCCGCGCACCCAATAAAAACCAACCCATAGTTCAATTTTCCATCAGGGTCTTTTAAAACTTCCTAACCAGCCAGCAACAAAACCATCTGTTTACTTCCTAACACCACAATAGAGTGTGGCATCAGGTGCGTAGACCTTAAGGGGAAAGGTCCCCGTGGAGTAAATTGTTGCGAAGACAATTTTGCGAGGATATTTTTTTGCGGGAAGTTTTTTTTGCGTATCGTGGAAAAAAAAAAACCCGCAAAAATCCTAAAAATTAGAACCCGCAAAAATTTAATGCACAAAGTAGATGTGGGTCGGGATGTTGCATTTATCAATGTTGTAGCATAGAGATATATATTTATAACATATCAGGTGCTTCGAGTGAATTGGATTACTGAAAGGGGGAGAAGAGAGGGGAGGGGGAATGAAATGGATTGATTTCCACCCAATCGCAATTTCCACTGTCTGCTGGCCGGCATTTTTTTCTCTTTCTTCCGGTACAATTCCCAAGTAACTAAATGAGGTTATGAGCACGAAAAACAGTGAAATTTATCAGTGGGGTATAGGTCCTTCTAAACAAGATTGGCATAACAAGCGATGTAAACGTCCACATTTATATTATATCAGGGAAAGTAAGAAAGATGGGAAAAAAGGCAAAAGGAATTGTGCACGATTCTTCCGTGGAGTGGGTTACATACATACATACATACACTTTATTTCAACTCGAATTATCAGAGTAGCTCTATTGAGCTAATATCTTCGAGAAAGAAAAAAAAATATGGGATGAACTCAATGAAGGCAAGGGGATTGGTCATATGAAATCACACGTTATTTTTGAAATTGTTATTGCAAAAGATTTTACTTAATAAGAATTAAAATAAAAAACTTGTTTCATATCATTCTAGCAACGTGGGTACCGTAAAATTGGGTTTCGTCAGGAATCAACTCAATTAGTGCTATCTTCAAATTTGAAACCAAACGTAACCGTCATTAGTAAAATTCTAATGATATTCTAAGGTGCAAATGCTGCGATTGTCACCTCATAGAAATCGAGAGCAAATAACTCAAAGGATGATTATGGCATAAACGCTTGACGTTGAAGAAGGTCAGTTAAACATCAGAACCTAACGCCCAAATCTGGTTATCCGTGCTTTAATTTTATTGGGCCACCTGCACCGTTTACAAGTTTCTCTATAATTGGCCAAACGAAGCAATAGGTAAACAACACAAGCAATGCCCCTGGCCCTAAGAACAAAAGAGGTACAAATTAACAAGAATGAATAACAATATTACAGGTTTTAAACAGGTGCAGGCCAACTTTCATAAAAAAATATACAATAATTTTATATAAAAAAATCACTGTTGTATTCACTAAGACTATTGAGACCGCACAATAGGCCAAGACAAAGGCCGTCGTACGCTCTTTGATTCCACGCGAGAAAGTCTGCGAGAGTAACTGCAAGACTTCAACGTTCTATTCCGTCTTCAACCGTTATTGAGAGACGTCAGCTTTCTCGCTACACGATAGCTCCAAACTAGCTCCTCTTCTCGCGTTTTTAATATCTGTGGCGTTGAAAAGACGAGTTTGCCAGCGCTGTAGTAAAAACAAGGCGAAGAAAGGAGCTAGAGGCGCTGGTTTATATCGAGGATACCGATTAACCTGTTCAGTAATATAATTCACGCATAAAATCTTAACGTTGTCAGTAAAATTATAAGGCTCTGCATACTTCAGAATACATTTTTTTTTTCAGTCCAATCTTCCACAGCCCTTTATGCTGCTTTATGTATAATGTCATGAACTGCGCCCACCTAACAAAGTGGAACGCAGCTCGCAAACTCTCTTTCTTAGGAACCAACCTCGCCTTTTACTTCATCGGATATCTTATGGGTTAAAGAAACGCGTACAGCACACAGGCAACAATCACCAGCATAACAAATTGTGCGACAGGATAGACGCTTGCGTTACAAAGGTCTTCCTGACAACACGACCAGTGGCACTTCACGCGCCTATCTTTTGCCTTGAGATGATCGCAAGAAAGCTTTAGGCTGCCACATGTCTTTGAGCTTGCACATGACCGTTTCTCTATGTCTATCGATGCATTGGTGAAACGTGACCGCACGCAGTGATCCAGTCCCTCGGGACAAGTCGCTTTTGTTTGATGCGCGGCGCACTCGTGGGGGGTTTGAGATGAGCTGCAGCTGGGTGTCGCCTTAGGAACACATTGGTAACACTGAATGGAACAGGCTGCGAATAAAACAAAGTACATAGAGACCGAGATAAGTATCGAGGGTCTCTACAAGTAACTCTCTCGTTCAGGAAATCCGGGGGTTATTTTTTCTGTAAATTACAGAAAATGAAAACAACGGGACACGCCCAACTCAAAGCCGTTTGATACCTTCAGAAACACATAGAAACAATGCCTTTAAAGTTGGCGTAATCAATTTCCATAGAATCATAATCCCCTGTAATTTCAAGGGCCAATTCTTGATCTAGATTAAATTCTCCACGCAGATGATCAGTTTCTTGAAGCGTTTAGACTCTTAGATCTTTACACCCTATCAAAAACTAAGATTAAACTGCTTAAAACTATGTCCTTCCTGGCGACCAAAAAGCATATAGCTTGGTCGACAATTTCGTCTGTGTCGGTTTTGTAACGGCTTTGATTCTGACGCCGAATTTTTCGTAGGCCGAACCTAATGCGTAAATTATTATAAAGCATTTTGCGAGCAGTTATACTCATAGAGCATGACATGGCGGCATAGATCTGCCATCCCATGCATTCCCGTCTCCAGAGGCCACTATCCTTCTGGCCAGGACAAACAAACCCGACCTCTGGATGGGTGCTAAACTGAATGTCCTCAATTCTCAGATTCCCGTCAAATCCGACAAATCTGACAAATCTGATTGGCTGAGAATACGAAACAAATACTCTGAGCATGCTCAGAAAATCGAATCCGGCCAGAGGTTGTGATTCTGGGGGCTGACCAAAAGGATCGAGCCTCCGGCGACGAGAATGCACCCTTTTCAAGGCGATGACACGAACGAATGTATTTGGGTGTTGCATTTTCGGCTACAGACAAGAACAGAAGCAGATTGGCAAAATTAAACAAACATTTATCGACTGTCACCGTTTTAAAATGTAGTGCAATACAGTCTAGATCTTTTTCCTTCTAACTGCAGCTTTTTCCGTCTCAGTTCGTAAAAAGAACCCTTAATGTAAGGCAACGGACGTGTGATAGTAGCGTCCTCCGTGTTTTGCATTCCGCTGGAAAACCACTGACAATATTGACTGGTTTTCGTCGAACTGTATTAGTAGGGAGCTTAAGCAACGACGACGACGACGCCGAGGACGACGCCTAGTAAAAAATGAATTTATATTTTACAAGCGAAATTCGTGATCGTCTATAACTGTTCGGCACGCCAATGGTTCTAAAAACGTGCTTTAATATGCACCGCGCGCGTTCAATTCCAAATGGAAATACGAAAAATTAGCCGTCGTCGTCCACGTTCCGTCGACGCAGAACTTGGTCATTTCACGATATACAAAGATACGTGCACAGATATACACAGATATATATATATCTCATTAGATGTTTTGGTGTGTAGTATCGCTGTATATTTTTACGAGTTGTGCCGTATTTTGACGAGCCCGTAGGGCGAGGCAAAATACAAACAACGAGTAAAAATATAAAGCGACACTACACACCAAAACATCTAATAAGAGATTTATTATCCAACTGCTGTAGTCAATAAATTTAAC